GGTGATTGGTCCATTCGCCTATGGTTTGGTGGTTGATCCATACGTCTATGGATGGGTGGTTGATCCGTATACTTTTTGTAGTTAGGCTAGGTTGTGATAATGTTGTTTAGGAGAGCGAAACATTCATGGCTCTCTTCACACATTTAAGAAGAGATGGTATGCCTTTGGAAGTGTTAAGGAGAACATTTTCAAAGAACATGTCGTCAGATGGTATGAATGAGTCCAGAATTTTCACAATTTTAAAATCTTGACTGGCAGAAAGGATTTGTTGATCTGCCTTTTGCACTTCATCATACGTAATATCTTTTCTTTTCGTAATTGGTAGCACATAAATTTCTGCTTTGGGCCATGTGCTTGTTATTTTAGAGAATAAAGCTTTAAATTCATGTTCTTTTACCCCATTGCTATACAGGTCTCTTGCTCCAATATGGACGAGTATGTTTTTGGGCTTTAGTTTGTATCCTGTTGTCTGAATATAATTCATGCAGGTGTTTGCTTCACCGTTAAGGTATCTTTCAAACGTAAATTCACTAGGGGGATTTTTTTGAGTTGTACTCTCCTAAGGATAGAGTTACTAGGAATAACATTATCTACTTCTGCTGTATCTTCCTCAGATGTGGTTTTTAATACACTTGGTTTATTATGAGGGGACGTTACATTTTAGAATAGTAAGTCTTATTCCTGTACATGCAAGTTTTGATTGTCAATTAAAACTTGTTCATGTATACTCTGTAAATTAAATGTTTGAAACTTTTCTTTCATGTTAGTTGTTGGCTCATCATGGTCTGCTCTTTGAGATTCAAATGGTTTTGTATGGTATCCAGAGTACCTAAAATGCAAGTTTGATTCTCAGTTATTTTTTTTAATTTAAATTGACTTTAACTTATTTTCGTTATTTGATGAGAGGGTGTCAAAATTCCATACTGTATGTTTGATATCTGAAACAAATTTCACAATTGAAACCAGTGCTTTGTCAACAGTTTCCAGCACAGTTAATATGATATCCAAGTTGAAACGTCAAGTTTCTTGATGATGTGCTATTTCTTTTGTTTGGGGCTAATGTTGTTTTTTTGACATTGGCGTAGATGTTTATTGATAGCTATAGAGTTTAATTTAGGTGAATTTCACATTTTGTTAATAATTGTCATCTCTGGATCTACATGCACTTCAAGTGAGTTGTCATCTATAGCTTTAGGTGCAGTGTCATCACTGCCATGATTATCTTCATGTAGCGTTGTGTTCAGGTCAATACACTTTTCTAATTGTGCATTTGTTTTGATTTCTTGAACATTATTGCCAACTCTTTCTTTTGATATTTGAAAATATTTCTGCTGAAATAATATGTATTATGTTCCGTGGATGACTATAGTCCCTGTATTATAAATGTTAATCTTAATTTGGAAAACATTTCCAGATTCATCTGTAATTGTTATTTGAATGACAGAGGGGTTTCCACCGTCTCTGATTAGTTGCGATACGTCACTCCCAAAATGGGATGAAATGACTCTTTTCCATACTTTTCCATACTTCGGTATCCTCTGTTTTTCCGAAAAATGATCAATTTCTCCACCTGTAACACAGTCATCAAATGTCATGATTTACCATTGGACGAGAATGGGTGAGTATGTTCTATTGCTAGTATATACTAGTATATAACTCATTTGAATGTACAGAAGATATAAATGATATGTATTCGCAATTGCTTAGAAATATTGAACACTATAATTAATTTGGTGATATTGTGATACAAGGCGATTTCAATTCCTATCGTTGTCAAATTTGAAATATTTACAAACTTAGATCGGTCAGTGCTGTTTATTTGGAATGTTTATTCACGCAATCGTTCTTGTAACATCGTAACTGTCGTCACTTTTTAAATTATAGAATCGTGCCAGTTCATATCGCACATTACTATTTTTATTTGAAGCATATCTTTGCAGTCTCTGTTGTAAGTAGCTATATAACCTATGTCATGTTTAAAAATTTTAGAATTGTACAAGCGTCTAAACTATGATGTTCGGTTTAACTGTTTTATTGTATAAATTTCAAGATCGTATAGTTTGATCAAATTAGATTGATATGATTCATTTGACATCCATGATCATAATCATTCTGATGAAGGATATCTGTTATCCGAAATATTTATAAATAATTACATTTATAGTTTTCTTTTTTTTTTTGTTATTGGTGTTGTTTTGTACACTTTTCAGGCGTTTATATATTTTATTTATTGTGTACATGTATCGTTACTCGTAACGATCCAGCGCCCTTGTGGGAAAGATCGTTATATATATATTTAATTCTCATATGAAAGCCACTGTCACCCTCTTTTTTATCTGTACAATTGTTTGTTTTGTTTTCTTATAATCATGCCTGAACAGTCCTTCATGGCTTCAATGAACCTTACATTGAACAGCAAATCTGAAGACTTACCTTGTTTGTATTGGATACCTATACTTCACAAAATTCCGAAAAAACAACTGTACATTGCCGGCGCATCTGCATGTTCTACAAAGAAATTGTCCATTAGATTGACAAAAATTTTGTCCGCAGTGAAAGAGGGTCCTCAGAAATACTATGAAACTGTTTACTCGCGTAGTGTTATTAACCATATGTTGATTCTAAAAAACTCTAACGAATTTCTTGATAATTTCAAATCGTCTAAAAGAAATAATCCACAATGCTTTTCAATATAAAAATGGTAGCATATGCTATAAATTTATTGCTTTGGGATACCATACGGCAAATTATGTTTATAGTGAACAAAACAATAAAACATGCTACACAGAGGATCAAGTGATCAGTATGCTGGAGTTTCTTATTGACAACATATATGTTGAATTTGGAGGTAGACTTTTTTCAAAAAATTATCGGCATTCCTATCGGAACGAACTTTGCGCCTCTCCTTGCCGACCTCTTCTTATTTTCATATGAGTCCGAGTTCCTTTAGACACTTGTCAAAAACAAAAAGAAGCCAGATCATTTAATTTCACATTCAGATATATTGATGATGTTCTTTCCATTAACAATCCCAACTTTTCTGATTGGGTTCCATAAATATATCCTCCAGAACTAAAAATTAAAGAAACAACAGACACAGCTTCCTCTGCCTCACTTTAGACTTATACCTCGAAATTGACATAAGCAGTCATCTCAGTACCTGAATCTTTGACAAACGAGACGATTTAAATTTTGAAATTATAAATCCCTCCCCTTTAGCAGCAATATACAAACTTCACCTGCATATGGGATATACATGTCCCAACTCATTCGGTATTCGAGAGCTTGCAGCCTCTACTCCGACTGTTTAAAACGTCACCAGTGTCTGAACAGGAAGTTGATGAGCCAATATTATGTCAAAGAACGTCTCGTCCTTTTTCTTAAAAAGTTCATTGGAAGATACCAAGACTTTGTTGATAAATATTCCGTATCAACTTCACAAATAATACATGATGGACTTGAAGTATAGATTCTAGGTACTAACGTACATTTTTAACCTTTACTGTTTAGTCCATGTTTGGTAATATTCTTTTGGCCTGGCTCGGTACTTATACATCCCGCCATTGTGTTTTTGTGCTATGGTCAATTCTATATTCTTGTCTTTCATTTTTGCTTATGTACGTTGTCTTTAGAGTGTCTATGTGCCTTTTTAGTTTTCTTTGTTGAAATAGTTATTTGTTTTTATAGTGATTAAGATTATATTACAATGTTGACGGCTGTTCCCCAATTTTTGACATTTTTACTTATGATGTCTGATTGTTTTGCTCACACAATGTTGTCAATATAATGGAACTCTTACAAGAGACAGGTTTAGCTAGCTATAAAACCAGGTTTAATCCACCATTTTCTACATTAGGAAATGCCTATACAAAGTCAGGAATATGACAGTCGTTTGATGTGTTTTAGCTTTTGATTTTCCCATTTTATAAAGGACTTATCGTTTTGAATTTCCCTTGGAGTTCGGTATTTTTGTTATTTTACTTTTTAACCAATTATTGTGAATGTGTTTGTATGGAATGCAGGAACCACATTGATAGTGGTTGCACTTTGTAAATAATGCTGTTTCACAAACCACGTCTCTTTTGGGGAGATATATAATATTCATAGATATTTTGTTTTGTTTACATACTGGTTTCCGGATATGATCTCTATGTTGCATCTCATAGAGACATAACTTTGAAATGTTACCAGTATAAATACACATGGATAGCGGTCAAATTGAATTCTATATAGTATACTTTACGGTCGTCCATAACAGATAGACTTATTAATGTGATTCCCGAGTTGTAAATAATAGTTAGGTTTCGTAAATACATTAACGGCCGTAAATTTTAATTAGCTCGTAAATGAAAATATACTCCTTCCAGGTGAATTACAACCCGATTCGTAAAAGATAATTTCGTTTCCATGGTTTCGTCCTGTGGAATTACAACCGGAAATACATACCAATTGTAAGAGCGATTTTGATAAGTGATCATTGAGACTGCAAAGGGGAGGCGAAAGATACCAGAGGGACATTTAAACTCATAAGTCGAAAATAAACTGACAACGCCATGGCTAAAAAATAAAAAGACCAAAAGACAAACAATGATACACAAAACACAACATAGAAAACTAAAGACTGAGGAACACGAACCTTACCAAAAAACGGTGGTGATCTCAGTGGCTTTCTTTTCTGGAGGTGAGTGTCAACTATTATAAGTGAATCTTTTATGTTAATCTCATGTAAACTAATGCTTTAAATACTTTTTGTGCTAATAAACATTGTCTATTGTCTGTTATTTAAGTCGTATCATTATTTTGCATATACGTTTTACTTGAAATTTAAAATTGAGTTTGCGTGTTGAACTTGTAAATGATCCATTGAGTTGCGTGACATGATGAAACTTCCTTGTCATTAAGTGCATGAAACAGATGTCTACATATATATCTACTTTTTTTAGATACTTAGAATTAATTCTAAATGTTTATAAATATTCTCTTCTACATTGATACCAAAATCTGTGTGTGCACTTTAAAAATGCAGCAACTAGTATTCATTATTGTCTACTGTATTTGCTTTATGTCCGCATGTCAAATTACAATATCTGGTGGGAAGGACAGTTTAGATGTTGTTAAAGGGTACGAAAGGCTGGAATCTAAGGTTGATACCCTGATAGCAAAGCTTGATCGCAGTCTTCAAATACCCAATGTTAAAGGTAAATGATGCTTGCTATTTAATATTTTGATGTGAAATTGTTTAATTAGGAAAACGTATTTTGAAAGAAATGAATTCCATGACCCTTGGGCATGGCATCGGGTCTGTTCGCCTTTATAACATGTTCGCCCTGGGTCCGTTCGACCTGGGGTCGTTCGCCCTACTTTTATAAAAAAAAATATTAAATATTTATGGTATTAAGGTTTTATAAACTTATTCAGATATTTATGTGGTAAACATTAAAGAAAATATATATTTCTCAAAAGTCATGAAAAAAACATAGAAATATTCGAGAAAAAAAATTAATTATTTTATAGCATTAATTGGCTTCATTGTTACATTTGTTTTTATTTACGAGGACTTTTAATGACTGTTGATTGTAATTTAGAATGCTAATTAGGTATAACTATGATGTCTTTGTTTTGGATAAGGTTATTGTTTTGTCGATCCTGCGACATTGATGCCGCGGAATCTAGACAAAGCGATCATTTATTTCGCCGTCGCGGCGTCGTTACCGGCCTCAACATCAGTTCAGTTGGTCTTTAAAGTTTTTCTAGATATGAATTACTTTGTTAAACTTTCGAGGAATTTTGTGAAATTCGGACAGATGCTTTGTATGATCAAAAGAACTAATTTTGAAAATTGTTATTTTACATTTTTCCGTATTTTACAGTAAACATTTTGACACAGTCTTGAGTCAAAGTTGGATGATATTTTGACAGAAGATTTTATTATGCTCAAAAGACATATACTGATAGAAGGACTTTTTTTTGTGGTTAATATGTAGATACAGTCTCTAGAGTTCAAGTTTGTAAGACATCAATTCCTTTGTCAAACCTAATAGAATTTCATGAAAATTTGGCATAAGCTTTTTGTATGATTAAGATGTCTGAAGCAAAATTTTTAAAATATATGTTTTTCCCATTTTTTTATTTTTTATTAATAGATGACTTAGATTGTTAACATTTACAGACAGTCTTGGATCATAATTTATTTACATGATAAACTTGAAAACCTTCATGTATTGTTATGAAACATGGACAGAAGCTTATCCCACTGATCAGGAAGAAGAATCTAAAGAAAATAAGCTTGATTTAAAACAATCTGTATTTTACTGATAAATGTACTAATTTTTTACAGTCAAATGTACACTTATTTACTGACAGCAGCAATCGCAGACAAGACAAGACACAGGGTTCCGCGGAATCCTTTACTAATTTTTGCTCAGTTCTACAATATTCATTTCCAAAATCATCCAGCTCCCCCTTCCCGGAATATGAAAAGGTCGTCCCCTTATCATTTCAATCAATACATGCCATGTGTTAATCAATAGTCGGTTTAGCAGCGTACATTGCTTGATTGGCAATATTTATATTAACAATGGTAGAATGAGAAAACAATATCTGTTTTGATCATTTTTTTCGGCCTTTTTGTCAATTTAAGCTATTCAATGCCTGCTCGCTAGCGTTTGTTAAAAATACTCCAATATTCCCAGATGTTTTGCGACGACCAAATAATTTAGAAGGGTGCCCAGTCAGGAAATTTGATCGTCTTGGTTTAACGGAATAAAACACGGCTGTATTTTATATCATTGGAAAGAAGAGAACAAGCCTCATCGAAATATCGATGATGTCGTCGTTGTCGACAGTGGTCACGATTTTCTTAAATTTGTGTCAAAGGTCAAAGCTAAAATCTTAGAGAAATCGCAGAGTTACGTTTAGACAGCTTGCCACCCTACATATATACGTTTAGAGCGAAATAAATTCGAATAATTCAAAGGATTATAACTATAGTTTCTATATTCAAGACTAATTGGATATTTCTGTTGCCAAATATAATTCGAGATTGACATTTATACTTATTGGTTGCACATTTACAATTTCCATTAAGCCGTTAAATAACAGTGTCCTTGACCCATTCAAATTTCCAAAGTCGGAAATTTTACATAAGATTCGATACAATTGATCTCTAGAAATGGTTTTTAGATATTAACATATATAAGTTGCCCTCCCAAAATGTTATTTTTTCCGTCTTTTGATAGAAGGTGTTCGTAATGATTTTCTGTGTAAATATTCAATTTTCTTATGGTGAGTGTGGAAGCACATGCACTTTTACTTTGTTCAAAACTGGTGTAATACTGATACAAAATGGATTGAACTACCAGGTCGGGGTATATCTTTGCTTTATAGAAAGAGAATTACCCCCAGTTTTTGGTGGGGTTCGTGTTGCTTAGTCTTTAGTTTTCTATGTTGTGTCATCTGTACTATTATTTGTCTGTTTGTCTTTTTATTTTTGGCCATGACGTTGTCAGTTTGTTTTCGATTTATGAGTTTGACTGTCCCTCTGGTATCTTTCGTCCCTCTTTCACTGAAAACGGCAAAAAAGGGGGAGGGGTGGCTGTCAAAGTTATGAAAACAAAACGACAATTAAAAACAAGTTAATCACTCCATTTCACACATTTATATGACTTGTTGAGCATAAATTAGCTGTGCAATTGACATGAAGTTAAAGATTAACTACAAAACGAGGGTTATGTACAGCATCGATGTATTTTACAAACACTTGTAAACAACATAGAATAATGTGTACATGTCTTCGTAGCAGAGTTTACCTAACCTTACCTCATTTACATGGAACATTGATACGTTAATGTTATGTAATACTTGTAATATAATATAGAAATAAGGAGATGTGATATGATTGTCAATGAGACAACTGTCCACCAAAAGTCAAATGAAATGGATTTAAGTAATTATAGACAACTGTACGGCCTTCAAGAATGAGAAAAAAACCCATACCTTATAGTTGGCTATAAAAAGCCCCGACATGAAAATTATGAAACAATTCATTTGATAAAACTAACGGCCTAATTTATAACAAAACAATTTACGAAAGACAAGTATGAAAAACATGAAGCAACGACCACCACTGAACTACCAGCTACAGGCTTGGGACAGGCACATAAAGAATGTGTAACCCTTTTCGACATAATACAGTCAGTTAAGGTATGCTGTACCTGTAGAATTTTTATAAAAAAACCGGTATCACACCCTACTTTTTACGGTAGTGATGTTTATGGTAATATTTTTTCTCCGACTATTGATGACGGGCTTTCATTAGCTTTCAGATTTCAAGGCTATATTCAGTAAGGGTGATGACCATTTGATTTTCCGGGGGGAGGGGGAGATTTTGAAAATGAATAACTTAGCCTGGTATGAACTGAAAATGTGATCAAAAGCGAAAATCAAAGCCGCGCCAAAGAAATAAGCATACGTAGCAACAGATAAAAAAAAATGGTCAATCCAGAAAAAAATCTTCCTGCTTGAAGGATCACAAACATGTTAAACCCGCCATATTCTGTATGTGTTTGTCCAAAATAAGTAGCCTGTAATTCAATGGTTGTCGGTGGTCGCTGTCTGTTACAGCTGTTTTTTGTTGTCATAAATGAGACCGTAAGTATATTCGTTTGGATTGTTTCACAATTTGTCTTGTCGGAATTCAAAACTACCGATCTTTTTTTAATTGTATTATTTTCACAGAAATAAACACTATTCCAATTTGAAACATGGCCGATAGATTGAACATGCATGCTTGGCACATAAAGTTCACTGGCTTCAGTGGTTTGCTCGAACAAAACTATTGCCAATTCAGCTTTGAAATTAGTGCAATTGTGCCTGCTGGTGTATACTTTATACACGAACGGTGGTACATTTTTGTTCTTGTTCACACCGAGGGTGATTTAGGTCGAAAACATCATGCACGACCTTAACATAGCCTTGATGTGCCATATTCCGGTGGTGAAACCAAACCGACCGATTTGATTCTTATACTACAATATATTCAATAAAAAGTTAAAAGTTTTGAAAAACCGACACAAAACATATTCCTCCGAACAAAATTACAATCGACAAAGCTAACCGGCTATTTAAAACAAACCAACCAACTACAAAACAAGCAAACATGAAAAATGTTTTGAGTGACAACTTTTCTTGTTAATGATCTTAGTGTAAGCAACAAAATGATTAATGGCACGAGATAATCCGTGTTTAATCAATACCGAAATGTTGACTTAATTTGTGTTTTTAATTGCTAATTTCTTCAAAACGACTTGGCACACACATGCACTGTGTCTTATTGCTTTAATCAGAGTAAACAATCTCGTGATGATACATGTAATAATTTTGCTATCGATGAAAATGTGGTAAATTTCGGTAACATTTCAGTCTTACCAAAATGTTGAAATACATATACTGAAATCACTTAAATACTTTCCGCTTGCGTTATATGATACATTTAATACATAAACTATATTCTAAGTACTATTTCAATTACCAAAACGGTTTCTGGGTGTACCCTGTAAAAGCACGAAATTTAGAAAATTGTGAACACGGGAACTTACGACGATAATTATAATTGTAGAATATAAAGATTTTCCTATATCTTGCAATAAAAGTTAGCCGTGTGTTTTCCGTTAACTTAAACTCGTTAAGTAGAGGACTTTTTGGACACTGGGCACCCTACTAATTGTTAAAATGAACTTCTTAACAGAACTTAAAAACTATCAATTCAATAATATCCAGTAATATAGAATTCGTTGTAGGCATACATTTGACGTCATCTGTGTTTTCCATTGGCTGAAAATAATTGTATAGGCAATTTTTATATATACACATAAAGAATATCTGTTCTCATTTGGTCTTGCCTTTCATGGTGAACAACAAGCCAGTACCGATATTTTAACCATCTGTGTTTATATTTCTTCTTTTTCCTCGTCATCCCTTTTTAATTCTTAAAGTCAAATATGTTCGATAAAATAATATGTGAAAAAAGTAAGGCATATAATTTTTCGACATTCTTTTAATTACAAAATGCTAATGGTTTTATGTTGGATTTGTTCGTTATTGTTTTTATTTCTTTGCTTTACTTTGCCTTGCCTGATTTCTTTTTCTTTTTGTAGAGTTATGGTTTTAGCTTTTTATCTTCTAACAGGGTGTTGAGTTATGTTTTTAGTTTTTTCTGTCTTAAGAGGATAGCCGATTAATACTCTTCGGTTATTTTATCACATCATTGTTTGAAAGAATTTGTTTCATAATGACTGTCTTAAAAAAATTAACTAAAAAAATCGATATATTTAGAAATTCAAAGACAATTATTTACAAACTGCTTTAACAATTAACAGCTAAAGAAATATTGCGAATATATTACAAAGACATTGAACCGGCGGTCGTTTCACATGCTTAGGAATGCTCTGCAAATTGTCCAGTGGCCATATCAAGTGTGTAAAGATCGAGTGAAATCCGCTGTAATTTAAGGGAAAATGTTCCAAAACATCTGACAGACACCCACTATCATGACTATGCAATGTTAAACCATTGCCGTGACGGCAACTTATTCATTTATCGTGGTTTCTTTTTCTAGAATTAACACTTCCTAAATCTGTCGCTGAAATGGATTCACCAAATTATATTCAATTGTTTCCTCTTTGTGCCTAATTTAATTAGGTTTGAGTTGGCTAATTTTATGATTTCTGTCACTAATGGAATTAATTTAAAAACTTACCTTTATCTATTGTAAATTTTATATGTCTTAACTGGGAATCGAACTCCTTCTTGACATATGATATGTGTGACTGACATCAACACATCGACGAAACCTCTCGACTACCAATGGGTTGCAATTTAGATGTCTATTTTATATATATAAATGAACATATGCATGTAGTGTATGCCCTTATATATTACAGTTAGGGTTTTTTGCTTGTGAGAGGGCTGTCTACATATTCCTTCATATTAATGTTCTATTTCTTTTACTGTATTTGTCTCTTGTGGAGAGTTGTCTCATTGGCAATCTTACAACATCTTCTTATTTTTATATATGATACAAATCGGTACCACAGACACACAGGGCTTGTACTTGTATATATGCATAATAGACAATCGTATAGTATTAGTTGGTAGCGGCGAGGTTAAAATCAATGAGTTATAGAGTCAAGTTAGAAGTAGAGACTTGCCGGTTTAGGTTTGAATCCTTGTATTCTCTTTGTTGTTCCTATTCTTAAGTTTTTCCGTTTTTCTTATTTTGTATGTTATTGTGGATATTTTTGGATTATCATTGGCTATTTCACGTATTTGAAAATGATTACATTCAATTTGTCCATTTTTGTTTTTTTCAAATATAGTTTGATTTCATATGTTTTACTACATATCTTTACAAATGTTTATTCGCAAATCCCTATGCGAATAAATCCTTATGTGCCTAGAACTGGGTTTCTTGCTAGAAATTTCGGTAAAATACTTATCATATATACTTAGAAATAAGTGAGAATATGTCTTATTTTGTAAATTACGGATAATATTCAGATGCATACTAATTTAAAGACAGACGTGTTATGTTATATTTGTATTTCTCTAACTGATTAATTGTGAACTTTGATTTATTAATTCATTTATTCATTGATTTATTCATCGTTGAACATGATAACATGGTTATTTAAACTCACTTACAATACCTTCTTATTAAGAAAGGGCTTTAATTTCGAAAACATCTCAACACAATAGTTTAAGTTAGAGACACAATGGATACGCATTTATTCGCCCTCCGTGCTCATTGTTTCTTTTTCAAAAATCAACGCGTATCCATTGTATCTATAATACGTCATTTGTGTCAAGTTGTGTTTCATGCTTAAAATATGATACCAACTTTGTATGAATATAGCCTTAACCGAGTGAAATCTGTGACAGAAATATTGCTTTGTCAAAAGAAAATCAATGAACTAAAAAAGGGAGGATTTTGCACCATTTGTAAATTGAGTGCATCACGTTTATAACTGAACTGTGTTCAACCATCCTTTACAAAATATGTCTAGGTTAGCGACTCAGAGTTTGTCAGTGCTATCTGAATCTCTAACTAGGATGCAGGTAAATTCATGTTTGAAAGACAACAACAAACACGAAAAAAGAGTGCAAACCTCTGTTTTGCTCAAAAGTCACTGAATGAATGTCACACAAATAAAGAAAACAATTTGTAGAGGATAGTATAAGACATAATAGTGTCCTGTGAAAAAGCGTCCGCCTGGACAGCTTTTCACAGAATTAAAGTACTAAATAATGTCCATTGCAAGTGGACAGAACTTTACAGCAACAATTATGAAATAGTGTCCTCCCACATGACAATTTTTCTAGGCAGTTGATATCAAATTATGTAAGGCATAATAATTTCCTGTGAAAAAAATGAAAAATTGTCCGCCTGGACAGTTTTTTTTACAATATTAAAGTATTTGATAATGTCCATTGCCATGAACGTTTGTCTCTTAAGTGGACAAAATTTTACTGCAACAATTATGAAATAGTGTTCTCCCACAGGACAATATTTTATAACAGTTGATATTAAATTATGTCCTCCAAGGGAATTTATACAAAGGTCATCAAAATGTTTTTATATACTTCAATAATAATTAATTCAGAAAGGAGTATAAGAAATAGATGAATTAAAACATAAAAAATGGATGGCAGTGAATACCGACAAATTTACAACTATCTAAATTCAAACAAATACCCAGAAAAGTTCAATGAAAATGTAAGGCGAACACTTCGAAGGAAATGTCAAAATTACAAAATCAAATTGTTTTTCACAGAATTGAATAATGTCCATTACCATGAAATTTTGTCTCTTAAGTGGACAGAATTTTACAGCAAAAGTAGTGAAATAGTGTCCCCCTACAGCATCTATGAGTATTTCTAGGGATTTAATCATGTTTGTAATAAAGTTATGGAATGTTCTGATATGAACTTTAGACAATTGAAAACTGATTTTTGTTTCCTGCATCTGTTACTTTTTGGATTTATAATTATATATCATTTTTTTGAAATAATGAACTCATGTTTATACCAGACTTCTCAGGTTTCACTTCATTTTACATTTTAATATCTACATGTTACCTATATTTCATAAACTGCTGATCTATAATGATATCAGCATAAAAATCTACAAGCAGTATGAAACAGAATGAAGTTTGCTGGATTAGGTACAGGCACAAAAGAATGTGATGGAGTTAAAAATTATTTTGTCATGTAGGGCATGATTAAATCCTTCAATAGTGCACCATTATAGTCTTTGTACGTTTTTACCTGTTCACCGAATGCCTTTCAAATTTCAGCTTATTTATGTAATTTTGTATATAGCATGCAGCCTCACTTGCATAACGCAACAATGTGTACTTGCATAAAAACATTAATAACTTCTTTATCTACACTTAATATTTTTCTTCAGACTTAAAAAAACACCATAGTGTAATTAAGAACGTTGCTCTGAAGAAAAGAACCCAACAAAGTTCCTGGTATGCTAAGACACGTACCTTGTTAAATAATATATGCTGTGCAACTGACTATGCAAATGACGGAAATCCAAACACATTTTCACATACTGACTATGAGAACTTGCCATACTGGTGGGTAGATCTTGGACATGTGTATGATATAAAGCGGATTGAAATTATAAACCGAATACAAGGTAGTAACGGTAAGTTCTGTTGTGATTTATTTTAAGATGGCTTGATGCTAAGTTAGAAATCTTATTTTTTTTCCGCTTTCATGTAGTTGTTTCTGACCTTATTTTAAACTATATTCAAGCGATTGAATACAATTATTCAAGAAGTGTGCTTTTCCCCTCTTTAGATCCACCATTTATCTACATCTTCATAATTGATTCAGAATTCGATGTCTTTAATGTATTGGACTATGTCATGCATAACGATAAGTGAAATGAAGGGTATATGTTATTTAGACAGTAAACAAACGATACAAAAAAGCAAATGACATTTAAATGTCTTTATACGGTCGTCAACAATAGTCAAGTGTCTATGGTATATGTCAAGCTCTGAGGTTACAAAAGTTATGAATATTTAAAACAGATAATATGAAACATAACATCTGTCATCAATACCAAAGTGTAAAAAAACATTGATTTGAAACCCACTGTTTGGTAAGTCAGATGAATGTGTGTCGGTCGGCTCCATTTTTTTTTAAATCTCAAGCCTTACCTGATCTCATCCCAATTATTGGGATACAAATGTGCATAGAAAAGCGTTATAAAAATTAGAACAAATTAGTGCATAAGAAATACTGACCAACGTTATAACCGTTGATCAGTGTATTTTTCATATATTTGGTTTTATCAAACAAATATCATTTCACTAACGCCGGTGTATATGCAATAGAATATCTATTTTTTACCCTCTCCATTTGCCAAAAAGTGTGCATTTGTTTACCCTTAACGTAGACGCTTGATCGTTTATGTGCTTTTTAAAATCCAACTGTTTTTCTTACATCATGAAGGCAAAATTATCACAATGGAATTGAATTGAGAATGTTTTCAAAACATTCTATTGATATTGTATATAAGTAAACAGGTATATTATGGTATACGGGAAAATATAGTGGACTTGACAATAAATTTCCTTCGCCAAGCAACTTTGGAAATTTTAGCTTCCTCTACTGGTATTTCCTCCATAAACCTCTCCTGAATATGATATTTCAACTCAATATATCTTCTTGTTCTTTCATATTATTCATATTATTTAAATTGAACTCTTTATAAAGTTATTTTCAAAATGATTTCAAATTCGATAACCAAGCAGATATATATATCATCTTTTTGTTTTTTCATATAATTTAAATTGAACTCTTTTGTATAAAGTTACTTTCAAAATGATTTCTAATTCGATAACCAATTTTACGTAGGCCAAGTTTCAAATACAATACGATTTATTCTATTTTAATGCAAAATAAACGAATCAGTCCATTTCAGGCATTATTTCGGTGTTAAATTTCATAAAACGATAATTTCGTGAAATGATGTTATCGTCTTTGACAACTAAACAAGGTAACGTTATAGGCTTCTTGTACGCCTCATAATGTAATAAAATTAGATAAATAGAACATTTTAGGTTTTTATTTATCATTGAAGAAATAACATGTCAATACATTCCAAAATTCAAAATGTCGGCTTCCCATAGCTACAGAAAGGCAGGTAGAGGATTTTACGCTTTTGTTGTCATCCAATCAGAACTATTCATACAAAATGGTTGCATTAGAATTGATGTTATTCCATGTAATTTGTTTTGTCGGAGTATTTCGGCTGTTTTTTTTTTATTGGGCCTGAGTGACCGAGTGGTCTAAGTAGTCGAACTACAGTTCGCATCCAATCTTAATTGACTAGGATTGACATTTTTTACCGAAAGCCGATGATTTTCTCCGGAAACACTGGCTTTCTCCACCAATAAAAACTGACCGCCATGAAATAGCACAATTAAGAAACTTTACAACCTGTCGGTCCTGGATAATGTTTAGGTGACCTGTAACATCATGGTTTTCAGTTTTAGCGCCTAACATATTAGTGTATGGTTTATCTTAAATCTTTAGAACGTACCACTTGGGTATCGGCCTTAGATTGTTCAGACATAAATACACCACAAATTGAGTATTTCGCTGTCACAGATATTGGAGGGCGATTATTAATCTACAAAGCCAAGAGGGTCCCCGTTGAATCAAAAGACAATGTATGACAGCGAGATAAAATGTTAATCAGGAATGCATAAGTACATATTTTCAAACCAAATGATATAGAAAATCGACTTACTACACTGATTGAGTAACTCGAGATGTCGAAAATGTGAATAAAGGTCTATAAAGATTTCAGTCAGTATAAATTAAAAAGCTTTATATTCCAAAATCCGCTGAAGAATATCGGCAAGTCTGTCAAATTAATAAGCATATTCATGTATTAAATCTCATATCTGCAGATATTTTTATACTATTTGAACAGGTGACCGTCTTCATGACGTAGATATCACAGTTGGGCGATCCTTGAAAGAAATGTCCTTATGTGCACACTATAAAGGTCCAGGAAAAACTGGGGAGCATCTTGTTTTCCGATGTAACAGGCAAATGAGTGGCCGTTATGTCAAAGTGACCATTAAAGGCAAGGAATACCTGCAGTTGGGAGAAGTGATGGTGTTTGCGCCTGAAATATCAGAATAATTTATATAAATTAAACTCTGAAATGCTGATTCTTTTTATAATCTATTCATCTTAAAAACAAATGAAAATTAGTTGAACATATCTATCGTGATCAATAAATCAGCAAGAATATCAAAAAGTAAAACATTTATAGGGAAGAAAACTAAGATAAAAAAACAAAGATGAGACAGCAAACCAATGACACACAAAAGTAAGGACATTTGTGGGTCAACATACAGTGTTCAACAATAATTAATACAAGAGCAAATGCGCGTTTCGTAAAATACATTTTTTTAGAAAAATTTGTTTCGGATGGTAACTTGACACACTATAAAATATCAACTGAAATGGCTTAACTCAATCAAAAAGACATAACTACAAAAACAAGTAAACATACACTGAACGAATAAATTTGATCTATGACACAATATAAATACAATATCAAATAAAAAAGGGGGAATGTAAAACAATGTCAAAAAGACAACTATAACCTTGGACAAAATGGCGTTGAATAAAATAACGTACATAGGTAAATTTTAATATAATTACTTTGTTGTTAGGAGTACGGAAATAATTTTTCAAAATAAATAAATTTGTTGTTCATAGTACGAGAACAGAAGTGAAAAATTATCGTCATACTAAATACTTATCAAAGGTGGTACATATTAAAAATAGTGAGACGAGATATAACACAAAATAAGTAAACATTGAATAACAAAAATGCATTACAAATTGTGTCAACAGGTCAAATTAACACGAAAGTACGATTTGAGAGTACTCGCAATTACTGAAAGCTAGTTAAAAGCCACAAACAATTAATAATAAAAAGAACATGCATCAGAGACTAAAATCAACTAAAACACATCCCAGGGATTTAGTGTTTTAACGCCATGGACAGTCAAAGAAGACATGACTTGTGCAATGCCAAAATAAAAGTATCGACAGGCAGAAGGATAGTTTGGATTTAACCTTATAATAAATATGTATAATGTTATATATAGATAAAGCAACCTTATAAAGAAACTGAACTTGGATGTGTATTTATACATCCCAAAAAACCATTCGACAAGAATACAAATTTAGTTATGTTTTAATTTGTTGATGACAAAATCGATATTTGTTCCAATGTAAACAATATTCAAAGATCTTATTACAACATTAATAAGATAACCTTTACTAATAAGTTTGTTTAAAGGTTCGATGAGTTTACACGGATCACATAGTGATTTTCGCGCTTTTAGTACAATATTACCGTAAAATTTGGGATGTGAAATACCGTTTTTAATAAGTTTTCTACAGGTACAGCCAAATTTACTTATCAAATCTTTGTATCTATGAAAGAATTTATTAAAAGTTTTAAGAAATTTATGGTAACGAAATCCCTGACTTAATAATTTACCAGTGATGCATTGATTACGTTCGTTAAAATCTATGACATCACTACACACGGGCATAACGATCGAGTTGTGATATATAAACACCGTATGATGGAGCCAAAGGAGCATCGCAGTCCAAAAAAGGAAAATTAACAATAGGGAATGAAAAATCGTCTCTTTTGTCTAGTTTATATCTTAGTTTGTTGTCCCTGGGGAATATATCATTGGTGGCAGACCTTTGGTAGCCACTTAAATAATTCACAACTTGTCGAGATAAGGAGCGATTAGGAGTTGACTTTTGTTGTATGATCTTGTATTTTTGTCTCGTTATTCCATGTCAACTTCGTAAACCTAGGAGATTATAACCCCCCTCCAAAAAAAAAAATAACTACTGCATTTGAATAAATACGTAGTATGAATATGAATATGGTGGCTTCACAAAGGTACTTTTTTGGTCAGAATGAATTGATTCTGTGTGTTGTTTCGATTCAAGGTAGTATTAAACACATTTCAATAATTGTTTCCATTAAAATAAAATTGAAATTGTTAGAAACGAAGGTTTCAACTCCCTCAGGCAAAGTTGACCTTAGATGGATTTGGCTATTTTTTTTAGGTCCTTTTTGGTTATAAAGTTCTTCAACTGTTTCGGTTCTTATACATCATTGGCTTTCAAATATTCGGGTTTAAGCGTTCCTGGTGAAGGTAAATCCAGAAAAGCGCTTCGGACGTATGCAATTTATAACGTGATGTTTTCATTTTTTAATATATAAAGGAGTTATGGAATAACCTTCGGTCACTCGCTTCATATTACATCATTTTATGATAAAACGTTGAATAAAATTTAGAAATTGTGAAGACATTTTCAAATTCTAAATTTTAAATAAATACATTTTTACAGTATCATATTCCCCAACAAAATCCATTCCAATCTAGAGGCTCCTATGTGAGATAATATATCATCTTTGTAACAGAAATGTAAAAAAATGAATATAAAGCAATTTGCGATAGCAACCAAACAACACAATCAAATCATCTGTATCTATAAGTTTTTGGTTTCAAAGTACTCAATATTACAACCCCCATGTGACGTTACATCAAAGCAGTCATTCTTTTTGGATTTATAGCAAGTAATTATGTTCATATATTTTCATGAAGATTAAAGTATTGCAGCTGGCAAGAGACACATGATCAATAATTTATACATGATAATGATATCATATAATATTGTTTTTCATTAAATTTCCCATACATCACAGGATGTTGAACGTAATCATTTGTACGCCCCCTTGACCAGAAGTTTTGTGGTTTACTAATTCATTTATGATAACTTTTCATATGATTAAAAGATTACCTTATCTATATTTGGAAAAAAACTTTTGGAATTTCGGGCCCTCACTGCTCTTCAACTTCGTACTTTATTTAGCATTCTAACTGTTTTATTCGAACGTCACTGATGAGTTTATTGCAGACGAACCGAGCATCTGGCGGACAAAATAATAAGTCTGGTATCTTTGATGAGTTTATTTTACACATATGTCTCACATTCACCAAGAACAAATATCAACTGAATTAAGCATTTACCGTGCACGTTTTTGTATTCCTAACATTCACATGTTTTACCTTCTGTTAACTTTGTAAAACTTAAGTATGAAGTTAGAAAGGAACAACAACTTAACCAATAAAATGTCCTAAATTATGCATTACATCTATGGCAGGGAATCAAATGTGTCTTACAGACACAACCATTTTAGTTGTACTTCGATATCATTCATTGCTAAATCTCACGTTTGCAGAACCATATTCATGCATGCATCTTGGTCTAGTTCTGAATATGCATGAAATATTTGTCAATGGACCTTAAGCAAAAGAATTAATCATTCAATAGTGAGCTAACAATTGAGATCAGGATATTGAATGTCTGTTACTTAATATAAACGACGTTCATCGTTTAGTCTAAACTGATGAAACAAACCTGTCGTAGATAGGGAAGTTATATATATATATAATTTGTGAGAAATGTCTGGAGAAAAGGTTATATCCATTTCTTAGATCCCTTCTACATTTTTCCATTAATCAATCAAGGCAAACTTTGTGTCCATGAACATAGTGGTCATAAACATAACAAAGAGTTCTATCATTGATAAAAAAAATCAGGAAAAAGACATGTCGATGCCTTAAAAAATGAAAAAAAAAAACACTTTATAAATTTCATGTATCCGAAGCGCTTTTCTGGATTTAACTTTATTAGGAACGCTCAAAGATGTATAAAACCAAAACAGTTGAAGAGCAATATGACCAAAAAGGACATAAATATGATAGCCAAATCCATCTAAGGCCAACTTTGCCTGAGCGAGTTGAAACCTTTAAATCTTAATAATTTCTAAATTTAACACGATGGCAAAATATTTATGTTTAACTTATCTGTAATCATTGTGTTTAACTAATCCGTTATCTTTATGTTTATCTTAACTATAGTCTATATGTTAAATAGTGTGCAAGGGCTCTTTTCTCTTAAATGTTCATGACATGATTTTTGTTTTGTGAAATGAGTCGCTGGTTCGTAGATTGTTATAGTTTTTGGTATTGTGATTGAAATTGTGATTTTCTGCAGTCTGTGGTTCATATTAAGCTTTTCTATAATCTGTGAGATAATGTGCGCTACCCTATAGTCATTATGATTAAAAGTTTGCTGGTCTCTAGTCTTTGAGATTAATAATGTACTAGTCTCTATTCTTGATGATTAATATGGCAGTTCGTCATATTTACAAGTTCATAGTCGTAATGATTAATAGAGATTTACAGTAAGTGTATGACTACAAACCGACCCCGAGCACGAATAAGAATAAGACTCGAAAAAAAGATGGCAATCTCATAAAAAAAAAGTTTAATATATTCCAATATTATTCATCAATTGTATCTTTAATTAAGCAATAGTATAACAAACTTCAACTGGCTTTACGTATTGACATGAATATACCTACAGTGCTCCTTTAAATTTATAATACATACGTTCCATTAATACTTGCCAGTATTCAAATATGTGTATGTTGAATTTCCTACAGTGTTTCTTTTGGGCTCTCTATTGTCTTGAATAAGGCATCAAAACACAAGAACGGTTTGAATATAGTTTATACACGATCAAATATATTTTGATCGAGGAAGGAAGGTTATGAATAATCACGAAATTCATTCTACTTTTATACCAAATGCATGTAACCTGATCTATTTACTTCTGAATAGAGTATGTATTGTTTTGTTCATCATACTTTATGTTCTTATTAAATATCTTCTTATCCTTGAAGAAGGAGGAATTACCCATGGGTCAACAAATCCTAAACTACACTTAATCTTACTTCGAAAAATAATGTAAAAATATTTGATTTTTACGCTTAATGTTTCATTACCCGATGTATTTATTTATTTGTTATCTCAAGCATCCTCCCATTCCCTCTTTCCAAAAATTATATAGGTACCGCGTGACCTTTTTCATCACATTTTGTCAGTCTTCTTTTCTATTGTTTGCTGTTCAGTGTAATCTTTGTCTTCAGAATTTTTTCGACTATAAGAAAACTATGCAATAATGCTCACATTGGACACGCTTTTAATTGAATTGTGGATAAAACACCGAAGAAGTCTGTAACGTACTGACTGGCGATAATTTCATAAATCTCGTA